AGAAATCGAATGGGAAATGCGAATGGGAAGGCATTTATGAGATATTTTTCCATAAAATTAGAATTTTTATAACCTGGATTATTAAAATTACATTTAACATTTCCCAAATATCTTTCATCCTAGATAAATGTTTTCCTTGATCTGTTACATTTCACAGAGGCTCCAGAGAAGATTAGGTTCTCAATTTGTTCTAAGCACACAGTGAAACAAAGTCCTTCTCTAAGGAGATTATGGTTTGTAGGAGAAAGGACAGGATATGGGTCATCACCTGCCCCTCTTGCATGTATCAAGGATAGAGATGTAGTGCCAAACCAGGTGACATACAAACCATCACAGCTGTAGTATCTTCACATGTTGATTCCAGTGTTTGGACTTTGGATTACCAAGCCCTGGATTGTGGGAAAGGAATTCGCAGGTGGCTTTGCACTGTTTCATGTGTCCCTGAATTAGAGATTATGAAGAAATAGGCAGTAGAAACAAAAATTTGAGCAAGGTCGAGATAAATTAACTTGGCTACAGTGTTAAAGATGAGCTTTGGGGAGTGGCCAAATGCTGGCTGGCTCAAGGTGTGTGTCTGAGGGTCTCTAACCAATTGTATGCCACATTCGGGCACGTGGACAGAGCATGGGGCTATGGGGAAAGATATGTAGTGGTGAAAAATGGCAATAAAGGTCTCCTGTTCAAGGGCCATCAGGATTCCGTGTCTTTCATCCCTTCACTGGATTTTCCTGTGCCTGAGCACTCACTTCTCCCTTTGCATTTCAGTTCCCTCCTCTTCAGTAGCACTGACACTCTTATTTGAGGCCATATCGTAAATCAGATGATCAAAGTAATCCAGACTAAATATACTCTAGTTTGTGTTTGGGAAAGGTCAGAAAGGTATAGCTTTAATGGTAGTAGAAGAGGAAGAAAAAGTAGGAGAGGGAATTTTCCTATTTTAATAGGAAAATCCTATTTTACGTACCTCTCTTCCTAACCTGGGGATTATTTCATAGCCTCCTGCTTCACTGGGTTTAAGATTCCCTTGGCTGTGAAGATTTCTCTAAACTGCTTCACTTTATCTACAGCAGGTTAGAATAATTTCACTGCAGTATTTTCATACCAAGAGGGCCTGCAAACTGATTTATGTGGTTTATGTGATTTATCCCTTTAGTGGTTCAAATTCAAAACCAGCAATCCGGACTGTCACTGAGCATACGTAGCTCTTATTCCTCAAGATGCTTTATAACAAGGTAACATAAATAAAGTGTTAGACTTGTATTGGTAATAAAATCTACATGAAGAGCACACAGAAGCGTTGGATGGTTTCATGATGTTTCAAATAAAAACACTCAGTGAAAGCAAACAAACAAACAAACAAAAAGAAAACACAATTTGACTAAATTGGGAAACACAAGAAGATGGAAAGTATTTCCTCCCTGTTAAACTACAGGAAGGAATTAGATGTCTTTCTCTGTGGGAATCCCAAACAACAAAACTTTACACTGTAATATTTGAAATATTTTTACAGATCCACTTGTGCTAGATATTCTCCATACTCATAATAATACAACCTGACATTATACAATAGGAAAGAAAGCAATCTCAGAGTAAACTAGGACTCAAACTATTCAAACATTTCATACATTTAAAGCAATTTCTTAAATGGCACCTTGAAAGAAAGTGCATAGGTGGAGTATGTTCCCTCAAGAAAAAGTACCTGTAACTGTCAGTTGCATTATGCTGAACTTCCTGACTGCAGCCTGGAGAGTTGATAAAATCTGTTAATAAAATGCACGTTTTCAAGCTAAGCAGCTATGACAACAAAATGCTTGGAGATATTTTCAATATACATGACAACTTTCTTCACAAATAGACCAATTCATACTCAAAAGCAAAAACCCATCTTTTACTGGATGACTTTGCATCAGATACTTTCTTATTTTTTAGAAAATTTAAAATGTAAAATAAATTTCTACATTGTTATGCATAGGATTTTTATGGACTAAAATACATCCCAATTTTATAAAGCTGAGCATCAATCTAGAGAGATCAAACTGAAAATTCACACTCTGCTACTGTCCGCTGACACAAGATCTTACTGTGATTTTGGCCAATTTATTCTACCTTATTCTCTCTTGAAAAGGGACTAAACCTTCCTACTTGTAAAAATGAGATTATAATAAATAAATGTGTCACATCACAGAGAATTGATGTGATTTAATGTAACATTCAGAAAGCAGTTTGTAGCTTGAAAGCACTAGCAAATGCTAAATTCTATTATTTTTTTACAAAGAATATGAGGTAGTGACATGCAGTACTTAAGTAAGAGAAACATAAGGCCACAGCTGCAGGCATCCACTGTTTCAAGAATATTGTATACCATGAATACCTGACACTTTGCATCTTTATGACCTCCTTTATTTCACCTGTTATACAGAACATTTCTTTACCTCAAAACGAGTGTGTTTATAACTTGTAGTTAGTGCCCTATATAAGAACTGAGAGCTCTCTGAGCAGCAAGCTCTCAGTCCTTTGATACACAACGATGTGGTCTCTTCACCATCTGAACTGCAGCAACAAAATTGAGGACTTTTCTGAGATTATTCCTTCACCTTCTAATTTTGAAATTAGAAACTTATTTCAGAATTTGCTTAGACTTAATTTCATCATTCCTCAGTGAAGCCTACAAACATTTCATTATGCAAATGCTGATTTTGTTTGATATTTCACTTGAAATATCTCTCCCAGTAAAGCCCAAAGTCTCAGAGCCATTCTATATTAATAATATTTTAAGTTTTTTTTGTTTGTTTGTTTATTTGTTTGTTTGTTTGTTTGTTTTTTCACTATTAATTAGGGAAAGTATTGTAACTGTAGCAGCTGTTAAAAGAAAATTCTATATCTGGATGTAGATATATAGCTATATCCTTCCCAGTGTATCCCATCGTATTCTGGACTCAGTACTGCAAAGGCATTCCATCCAAGCTCTCTTAAGGACACAGGTCTGTGCATCCATTTTTGCCGCACAGGAAGGCAGATACTTCAGCACTGGAAGCTATGTTTGTCAAGAAACTTTGGGTATTTTTCTTAATACATTCAGCTGTAGAGTCTTAAGCCTGCTCCCAGACCAGAATGAACAGGAGTCAAATCTGAATTTAACAATATTACTAAACTGCAGACCATATGACAAAGCTGACTCTTGCCTGCATTTACACTGGGAAATTCAAGTATGCTTGTACACATGATCTTGTTGGCACAGAATTAACACTAGTTTGTTATACTAAGAGTTTTATTCAATAAGGAGAGCCAGAATCCATGAAAAGATGACTATGCTGTGTTTTGGGTTAGTTTACAAAGATGGTCCATTCCTCTACCTAGATTACTTCTGAAATAAATAAATAAATAATATCAAGGTGAAAATGTTGTACAGTTCTTGTTTCATGCAATATCAACGTAAGACTGAGAAATTAACACCCTGTTATTGAATGGTCTAACACCAAATTCTATTTTGATATATTTCCTGGTTATGAAAATCTTGCAAATAATCCAGATAGGGACAAAACTACACTTTGGTGATAAATACAAATAATCCAAATTCCTGCTACTGCTTTCAGATGTTTGAAGACTGTACCACACTGCTAGGTGTTTCTGAAAAGGCTGTCCAATTTTTACATTTCAAGTCTCCTAGAAACAGGAATAAAATCCTTTTCAATATTTAGTATTTTTTCAGTTTTGTCCCAAGGTTCTGAAATGTTTAGTGAACACGGATGTGGAAGGGCCTTTCACGTGACATTTTTCCAATGAACTGTCTCATTTAAATTTGTCTTTTATTGACAAGTCCCAGTAGTCAACCCTATCAATAATTGCCCAATTTATAGCAGCAGATCCCCTAAAATACTGTGAACCTTACAGGCATCTAATTGTTTATCTCAAGCCAAATTCTACCACGGTACTCATCAAAACATTTCTTCAAGTACTACTTCTTACTGTAAATGTTTGCTATGGTCAATAACCAAGCTGCTGATCTTTAATCCCATTATTAATTATTTTGACCCCCCTGGGACATCAAGGCCTGTGATTTAGAGGCAGGGGAAGCATATTAAATATATGCAGGAAACAAGTCTTTAAAGAGTGTATTCGCATCAGTACCCTGCACCCAAGGATTATTTGAATCAGTTGAGAAAAATGAGAGGAGGTTTGTGGTGCCATTTAGAACTAACCAACACTAGTCAAATATTGAATGAGTAATATTTACTATGCACTGAAAAGCTTGCAAACCCAAACTTATTCCTAGATGTCGGTAATCATTATTGAAAGACAGCTAATTTCAAAAGAATGCTGTGTTCCTACACAGACCGCAAAAAAAAAAAAGAACAACAATATTGAATTAGTTACCTGTAGGACAAGGTATGAATTATTTACTAAGGTTGACTCATTTGCATAATTCCCCACAGTCAAGCATGCAAACCAAATCAGGTAATTCCACACAATCATGCAATTACTAATTTCATATGCAATTACTTCAGCAGTACCTGTAGTTGCAGCATTTAGAAGTACAAATTTGAAATATGCTTGTTAATTTATTTTATGCTTATAGCTAATACATTTGCAGAGTCCATGTAGATACCTAATATAGTGGTTTAATACTTAATCTTTACACTTTGGTGATAAATAGAAGACATCAAGATAAGACCATATGCTCATTACAGAAGTGTCCTGGTTTCAGTTAGAACAGAATTAATTTTCTTCCTAGTAGCTGGTGGAATGCTGTGTTTTGGCTTAGGATGAGAAGAGTGCTGATAACACCCCAATGCTTTAATTGTTGCAGAGCAGTGCTTATACTAAGCCAAGGACATCTCAGCCTTTTGCTCTGTCCTGCCAACGGGCAGGCTGGGGGTGCAGTAAGAGCTGGGAGGGGACAGACCCAGGACAGGTGACCCAAACTAGCCAAAGGGGTATTCCATACCATCTGACGTCATGCTAAACAATATATAGGGGTGGCTAGCCGGGGGGAGGGGGCCGGACTGCTCGGGGTTAGGCTGGGCATCGGTCAGCGAGTGGTGAGCAATTGCATTGTGCATCACTTGTTTGTACATATTATTATTACTTTCATATTATCACTATTGTATCATTATTATTATTATTGTTATTATTATTTTTGTTATTATTATTTTCCCTGTCTTATTAAACTGTCTTTATCTCAACTCACGGGCTTCACTTTCCATTTCTCTCCCCCGTCCCAGAGAGGGAGGGGGGAGGGTGAGCGAACGGCTGCGTGGTGTTTAGCTGCCGGCCGGGTTAAACCACGACAAGAAGTTTTTATCTAATTGCAGAAGAGCAAAGGCAAATTGGATTTTTGTCTCATTTGTAAGTTATAAATGGTTGAGTGTTACAAATCTGAGTTATTTTTACTAATTTCACATATTGTATTTCAATATTTATTTGAAAGAGAATGGACAACAACACAGAATACCCTTTTCATTAATTCCAATCATTTGCTACCCTGTTGCCCAGATATTTTTGGTAGTTTGCTAACCAAGTTTTCTTCTGAAATTTTCTTTTTTACCTTCCTACATAAGTTGAAATTTAAGAAAACTGTATTCAATATTCAGAATTTCTGCAGGTGGTTATACTCAGTCTGTTCTTTGCTGTTTCTATGACTGCTGGAACAGCACTAATTTCTTCAAATTGAATGGAAATATAATCCAATTTGTATATTGAAACAAGAACATGCACAATTTTAGTTGAAAATTATTCCAGCAAGAAAGAGCACATGTCTATAATCTATGTTCTGTCTCTCTCTATATATGTACACGCACTCTTTCATGTAAACCACAAACATGTATGTTCAATTTCAAAGATTTAGCAAAGCAGAGCAAAGCACGATCAGTTTGTACTATGTATTTTGTTTGCAGCATTAGGAGATTTTAGGCTGAGAATTTTATTTTTTTTCCTTTCCCAAATTTTACTACAAGCCATGTGCACTTTTAGTGGTACAAAACAAAACAAAAATATCAAATACCATCAGTCTTTCTCAAAGGCTTTCATTTCTATCTTGTAGGCTTTCAGCTTACAAATCTTGGGATCATGGTTTCCCCCATGACAGTTAAACATGTCTTTTCATTTGAGTTCTGTGAATGTAACTCTGATGAAGCACTGATACACGTATGCAGATTATCAAAACTCCTGCACTGATTTCAATGATACTAATCATACATATGAGCAATGTATTTTCTAGTAATCCCAGTTCATTTAGATATAATATTATGGTTTTAGTCACAAGAAGTCTAGTGACACCAGAAAGGTACACTGAATCTAACTAACTAGACTTCCTGGCTAACAATGACCATTGAAAGATACTTTCTTTACCAACCCCTAAATTATCAATTTCACATGTAAGTCAGGTAGCTATGTGGAGATAGCTTTGCTTACCATTCAGATGTCCTGAGGAAGAGAAACGTGAGAGTCAGCCATCTCAAGAAAATATAGTCGCACTAGTCAATGAGTGGAACACTTCAGGTTCGATCGGTTGTTCTGAAATCACTCTAAACACAGTCCAGGCTAAGCTAGAAGCAAATAAAGTATTTTTTTTAAATTTAAGGAACAGATAAGTATTACCATATTAGTTGGGAAACACAATGAAAGGAAAACAAAAAGCAAAAAGCAAAAAAACAAAAAACACACATTTTACAAGAACTTATATGCGTACTTAAGTTATATCAATATGCTTCTCTTTGCCTAAAAAATTTTGTTACTATGGTAACAGAAACTTCATAACATTCCTAGCTGAAGGCTGTGACATTCATCCAGACTATGTCTTTAGGCTACATTCAAGGAAAACAGGTCAGGCCAAGGTGCCTAAAGTTTACCTATTTTTGGTAGAACTAAAATCAAAGCTCTCTGCCTTCCACTCTTCTCCCTCTCCCATCTTCCCACTATATAGCATCCAAAAATCAGAGCAGGCTTTATGTGGTCCATCTTTCCCTTTCATGTGCCACCTTCCATTTTGGGAACACTCACATAATGATGGTCTGAACTATTTTTTTCCTCTGTCTGGTCTGATGGACAGAAAACTCAGTGAGTACGTGGGAGAAAACTGTGTTCTCTTCTCTATTATGTCCATCCATCACTTTTATTATAACTAAGATGGAAAAGTTGTATTTGGAAAGAACTGTCCACGCAGAAAGTCTGATCACTTCTGTAAGTACTCAGAGAAGAAACTCTATAGCTGACATTTGTAATCTCAGTATAGTTCACTATAACCCAATTTCTTTCCTGATGAAAACAGAAACAAAAGCTTAAGCAAGGAGATGTCTTATTTTTATAAACTAATTAGCAATATACTGTTATAATGTTGACAAGAATAATCAAAATATGTGAGTTTAATATATGCACAAGAGGGCCAAGTTAATAAGGTCACTTCCATCTTTTCCCCTGATAGAAGCATTTCATCCTTATGTAAATGGGAAGTAAAATCCATGTCTTTCCAAAATACTTAGCTTATGCTTTTAGACCTCAATCCAGTTTACAATATAGGAATCATCTCATTTATTTTAGTTATAAATGTTAAACATCTTTCGTTGGTTTGGTGGCTTGAACTTGTAATTTACTTTTGTCATCAAGATCTTCTTCTCTGGTTATCAAATCTGACAATTCTTTGGAGCATCAATCAGATAACCATTTGCTTTGGGGAGGAATAAGGCTACTAGATTTACTTCTATCACATGTAGTTAGCACAGTTAACACATCACAGTTAATACCATTCTGATATTATGTTTTCAGGATACAAAGAAACATTTTGCTGGCACAGACTTCTCTCTGGCTCAAGGCCTAAATGTAATTACACGTATGTCTCTGAGGTGTAGAAGAGATTTCTTTAAGCACTGCAATGGTAACAGAGGCTGCCACTGAAAAGGAAGGTAGGAATCTTGATATATGAAATACAAGAAGTTATCAGTCTTTAATGACATATTTAATGCCACATGGCTTGATTGTATAACAGCTAATAGATTTGTTTTGATTTTTTGGGGGGTGTGTGTGGCTGTTTTCTTCACTTTTTTTGACTCCATCAAGAGTATATAACTGACTGACCAGGAATTACTATTTTACTTAGAAATCTAATGTCAAACACATAAATTATGCCATTAATTTCAGTTTTTAAAAACAACTAAGCATGTGTTTTGCTTTTGAGATAGATCTAATTAATGTACCATTATGGTTTTCTCTTGAAAACTTTACAATTCTCCCTATTTTATTAAAAAAAAAAAAAAAACTTTGTATTAAAATTTCATGGGTTGGGAAATCTTTGTACACATGAAGCAAAGGAATTAAATGCAAAGAAAGAAGCAGTAGAAGAACCTGCACAAGTGTTGCCTTCAGTGGCGACCTGGTTCAGGAACGGCACGGCGGCCAACCCCAGGCCGCTCGGTCCATCGGCTCACAGACACCAATGTGGTGGATGGCAAATGGCGTTTATTGTCGAGTCCCATGGGGTTATCTAGCCGAGGCCCAGAGCGTCACCTCCGCTTGCTTACAGCACAGGCCACACGCTGCTGTCCATCAAGGGAGGGGCTCCACCTTTCCGTACAGCGCCACATCTTCCGGCCGCCAGGCCCTAACTACCCACAACAAGTGATCAGGAAGCACACTGACAAATAGTTTATGTTATGATAAACATTTTTGCTGGATGTGGACTCAAAATGGCAAATGACTTTGGTTGACGCAAACATCATTCTAAATGTATTTCTGCAGACTTAGGCGTTTCCTGTGAATCTTTTTTTCCACTTGGCAGAACTTCCTCCGTTCTAGAGCACAGCACTGTGGGCAACTACCCTGTGCTCCTTACTCCCCTGCTGAACCACATTTCCCGTATAATTTTTCCTGCAGTATACTGCGAAGTGAATGCAATAAACAATTGCACTCCCTGGTCTTCACATCCTTCAAATATGTAATACTCTTTTTTCTGTCCCTGCCTGACCCACTTCTCTGACAAAGATACCAGCAAGGGGATTTCACAGAGCTTTGCACCACAATGCTGACTGCTCTAGACCTACAGATTAATCTATGAGAATTCAACACTTGACCATACACAGCTTTATAAGTTAGCCACCACAGAGCTTTCTACACAGCTGCACATGAGTTCTGAGTCTCTGAAAGACAATGGGTACAATGTCACCTGCAAAAAAATGAAATTTAAACCAGGTAATTTCAACATAACACCTGACAGTCACAGGGTTCGTAATGCATACAAAGATTAAAGCACTATTAGTGCAAGAGAGAAGAGTAATTCTAGAGACAGACCTTGTCTGTGGCTCCATTACAGATGGGAGACTGGCAAACTGCCTCACCCAAAAAGAATACGAGGACCACTGTTAGCTACTTCCAGGTGGTTACCTAGGACTCCTTAGTATTCTTGGTAAGCATGGTACTTAAAACTAAATTAAAACAGAGATCCAAACAGATATCTGCAACAATTTCTTGATAATTTGTTTTACTCTATCTCACAAGAATTTCTGAGCTTTACTTGATTTTCTGTACAATTAATCACAAAACAAAGAGTTCCAGATTTGTCAACATACCAGGTCCAGAGCATGTAATTTACAGAAAGATTACATCAGGTGCCAGATGTGGCCTTCTCAAGTCAAAGTAACTATTTTGATTGATCTCTGTTTATACCCCATCCTTTTACAAACACTGAAGAAAGCTTATTATTTAGGTAAGGGGGTGCAGTACTTAAATGAAAACGTAATCTTTTTCATTTATACCATCAGCCTCAGATAATGGCCAACAATTAGCAAACATACTGCACATTACAGGTTCAGAACAAGGTTTCCATAAGATTAGACAAATTCCTGAAATGGAACACAACTGAAGATTACTGAAATTATCTAAGTCTGGTCAAATTGCCGGAGACAGGGAGAGTAGTCAGAGATGGTATTATTACAGCTTTTCTTTATTCTTACATCCCTCCTCTGGTCATGGATGGACACATACAACAGAGCCATTCTTATTTTCTTAAACAATGTAGAAAAAGAATGAACATATTGCTCTCTTATTATTGTAAGAGTCATCACAGAACCTCTGATTGAGTAATCTTCATGTGCCTTACTCCCTGAATTCCCAAAATTCTAGTTTCAGCTCAATTTTTAAACAGTTGACATTTTCAATGAGATGATAGAGTCAATGATTTTACCACTTAAGCTTAAAGAATTTCAAGTGTGTTACTTTCCATGCTTTACTTTTATGTGATGACCACTTGTAACAAAAATATTCAGATCTATTGTGATCAAGTTAAATAGCATTATTTTCAAAGTACTGGTGGTTGCAGAGTACACAGCAAATTTTTTTTAATTTTTAATATCAAATTAGATTTCTTAGTATGATTCATGTTTGTAGAATCAGAAAAGGAAGCACTTAAAAAGACTGCATTCTTCAGACTCCTTCTCCCCAAAGAAGCTACGTGTCTAGGGATGAAGCTACAAATCTGCCTACTTCCTAAATATTTCCTGTAGTTCTCACTGGCAAGTTCAGTTGGAAAGTGTCTGCAGGGAACAAAAAAAATGTGTTTACTACAAAGAAATGTTCAAATTATTCATTTTAAGAATCTACAGCTCAGTAGGTTGTGCTTTTAAAATCCCTGGCTGACAGTCCATAGCTGTTTCTAAGAGTATTAACATTTTTTTCCATGTCTTGCTAATTGGTATATTTTCTCTTTGTACAGAAATGCTTGAAATAGTGATGTTATTGTTAAGAGTAAGGAGATAGTTTCCAGAAAAAGCGGTATTTACTGAGGAAAATGCATATTACCAAAACCCAGGAAAGAAGAAATGAATTTCATTGTTGAGATCTATTTATCAGCACTCCAAAATATTATTGTCTGCAATTCTCAGATTATTTCAGGAAGTGTGCCAACGTCATAAAATACAGGAAACAATAATGAGAAGCTCCCTTGCCTCTGTCATGGCACCTTAAATTATTTTTGATGAACTAGGCAGGCTTCCAAGATTTACTTTTCAGAAATCTACGACAACACTCAGACTGAATAAAATCAAGCTTGGCTCAGTAGCAGGCAGCTGCAGTCTTGGGAAAAGAGCCTTCAGTTTCCCTTTCCTTTCCCAGAACTCTTTTGCTTAATAGCACAAATCCACAGGACCCAGACTGTTAGCTCATAAAGCCATATGCTTTTTAATAATCTGCAGGAGCCATAAGAATATTTAACTAAGTGTTAGTTTCCTTTAGTCAACTTCCTAGTCCCAGGTTTCTTTAGCTTTTCCTTCATGAATAAATTTAAATCTAAGCAGCTTTCCCTTGTCTTTCTTGTCTTAGCAGTTTCACAGCTTGAAGGACAGAAAAATGATTTTTTTTAACTAAAGTTTTCTTTTTAAAAAGCCACTGATAAGTACATGATTAGAAGGCGAGAATGAACTAAGTTTGTGTTGTTCACATCAAATGTGAACAAGAAAAGGCACATCCTGCACTTGTTTCTATCTTTGCCACAAGGAAGAGGAGCCTGTGTTTTAATACCTCATTTACCTCTGAAGAATGGCAGTAAACTTTATTACCGTGACCTTTTGCACGATCCTTCACTTGAATTGCTGGGTCATTCCCTGTTCTCCCCATTTACAATATCACTAATCAGCACAAGGGCATGCAAACCAAAGAGATTTGAAATATCTACTCACTTTAAAACACAGAAATCTAATTTTTTAAAACTTGTATTTACAGTTCCTGAAAGCTTCATCTCTTTTCACTGGCTTTGGTAGACAGTAGCTTTCTTCTACATCATTTTTGAAGCAAGCAACCAGAAACTATACAGTATTTGAGCTATTTTGCTATACCACTGCCTGCAGGAGCTGCCATTCTGTTCAGAGACACAGGTTGCTGATCCACATCAACAGGAAAACAGAGGAGGTATATTTTGCAACATGTGCTAGGAACAAACATGATTTCCTTCAAATAAAAAATGATTTCATTCAATCCTTATAATTCCTGTACTGTTGTGGCCTTGTTGTGATCATTAGATATTGAATTACATTGCATGCTCTTTGTCTTGCACCTTGCTATCTGGTGACATTCAAATAAATTATATTTTTCCATCATTCCAATTAATCTCAAAGATTATACTGCTCTTACCCTTTCTTTCACACACTGGCAAACTTTTAACATATTTAGAAACAGAGCTAATGTGCTTAGCCCTTCATTCCTCTAAAATTATGACTAAAAACTCTGAGAACACAGACACTTAAAAAAAAAAACACACATGGCTTTACCTCAAAATAAGCATATATTGACTATCTATAGTCATTTACATAAAAACTAAGAAGCTGATAGTACTCTTCTCGGAAGTGCATCAGGATCAATGATTCTGAAGTCAATGGAAGATATTTGCAGCTCTTTAAAACGTATAAACTGGCTCCGTTCTGAACACCCAGATACAGTTTTAGTTATAATCCATTCTATTGATCTGATCACTAAGTAGAGATGGATCAATTTTCAAGAGCTTAGGAAAAAGCAGGAAAAAATATCTTAGAAGTATTAGAAGGATCACTTCATGAAGAAGAAAAGTGTCAAGCTGAACTGCTTTCTTGGGTAAAGGAAAGCAGCTACCAAGCTGTAGAGCATGAGCAAGGTTTAAACACAAAAAGTAAGTTATTGTGAATATATACTGAGTTACAGCAAGCAGTGGCAAATGGCAGTACTGACTCTTCCAGGACTCTCCAGATGTGCCCTCCACACACCTGCATTTCTACCCCACCTCCCTTGTTATTCTCAGTATTCAGGCAGACCTTTGGGCTGTATCCTAAGATGTCAGCAACACGAAGGTAACTAAGCTCACACATCAAATATGAGTATTTGCATTTCTCAGCACTGTCGGGGGCAAAATGAAAGGTTCATGATTAGAGTAATAAAGTGAAACCACAACAAGGGAAGATAGACATTGACATATGCCATACAAGCAAGATGGCATAATCATCAAAATGGCACATACCCAGATAATTCCTCTACATTTCCAAAACAATACTGAATGCCCTAGTAGAAATGTTACAATGAGTTCCTGCTGTTATGTCTGTGAAGGGAACACATGCTTTCTGGATCATATTCAGACTTTGGGACAGAAGTATGTGAATTTCTTAAGTGAACAGAAGGCTGAAGATGCACATTATTTTTAAACATATCACAGAAACTAGGAATGGCATAGAATAAAACGGCCTTCACAAAAGCTTGTCCACAACTCTGTACAAATTTACTTCATATAGAACGATATTCAAGACCTATCATATCATTATAATTATCATATCATTATAATATATCATATCATTATAATTTTCATCCCTTAGCAAACAAGGAGTAGATTACAATTCTTGAAAATGGTGAGAAACAGTGTTTCTCTTGGCCAGCTAGCTGTCCTCAAATACAATTAGCACGGAAAAAAAAAATAATCAAGTTTGTTATCAGTAAAGGCATGTATTATAAAACCTTATATACTCCCACAGACTAAGTTCATCAACAATTGCATTTGATCCTCATCCAAATCACTATGATTTCTCTAGAGGAATTTAAAAGAAGTATAATTATGACTTCAGGATTAACTACAAATCATAAGCAGAGAAGGGAAAGACAATTCATGTTACCATGAAATAAAATGGAAATGGTATATCAACACAACAAATGAGTTAGAAACAATGAAGATGGAAAAGTGGCATGTGTTTTTCCATTCTTCTCCAGTAACTGGTTATAAATATTCATTTCATTCATGATAATTATTCTCAAATTCCTGCTGCTATTACTGGCCATGAGAAGGATCTTGTGGGTCAGACTGCCAACAGCTCATAAAAGCAAGTTTCTAGAAAGTAGTTTCCAATTCCTAATTTGACTCTGGCTACTGGCTACAGTTGGACAAAGAAATCCTTCCGCTTACCTTGTTCTTATTTCATCCTCTCCAAGGAGTTAGTCCTGTGAGTCTTTCTGAGCTTCGCATCTTCTTTAATAAGGAATAAGTCTCCATGGGGGAAGAAAGAACACGAATTAGACAGGGACAGGGATGGGAAGAAATAAAGGCTACTAGAAATTTGAAATTCAGAATAAAAATCCCTCAGTCTGCACAGCTGTATATCAGAAGTGTGCATTGTATAATTTGAAAGCTCATCATTAGATCAGTATCATGCAATGAAGCATGGACTCATTTTTGTAAATCACAGGGTTTGGGATGTTTTGCTCACAGATCACCAGAACTGGAAGATGTCTGGTTCAATTTTTTTTTTTTGACATTTTTTGCAGATATTTCATAACCCATAAATGTCACTTATCAACATGCACTCAACATATCACCTCTTTGCCAACAGCAGCATTTGTCCTTACCAGCATTCCAGTCTCTATCTTGTCCCAATCTTTTCCCCCACTCCAATTCTTCTCTCTTTTGTTCTTTATTAACCCACAAGACAGCAATAGTGAAAACACAAGGAACACTATGATATAGTTACTTCAAAAATATTTTGTAAAGTTTTTCCAACTAAATAACTGATGTGGGTAAGTATCACTTTCAAAGGACATTAGGTTCCTAGCTGTCCATCTCACTCCTTTGCAGGAAATTACTGCCCCCACTCCAGAGCATAGCAACATACATGCATGCAACCCTACTATTCAAGTTCACAGCTTATGTATCAGTAGCAATTTAAATACTAAGCTGTGAATGAGATTGGCAGAAGTGCTGACACACAACTCACTGTTCTGGGGCAGAACCTTCTAGCAAAGGACTGGGATGCAGAAGAGTGACAGCAAAATTCAGAACTGTTCCCACTAACTTACTCAATCCATCTGTCAAAGTACCCCAACTTCCTGGTATGCTTCCAAAATACTTTGCCAGGTTTTAGAAGCAGAAGAGCCAACAACCATGGCACCCGAAGGAAGTTTCTCTTTAGGACAGTTTGCTCAAATGCTGACATACAAACACCACAACTACTATCAGTAGAAAAGACAGCTTTGAGTTAACTCTGGTACCTTTACAGGACACTGCACTAACAGCCTAAATGCCATCGCTCATTGAGACTTCAGTTCCTCACTGCCTATCTGAAAAACAAAGCAAGTTCCTACAATCACTGCATATCTTTGGAAAAAGAAAACAGCTCTTGTGCATTAGGAAAGACAAACTCAGCAGACAACATTTCTCAATGGTTAAACAACCTAATGGGCATCATGAGGGTGAAGGGGGGTCAAACTGATGGGAACAGAGCTATAGAGATTGTTAATCCCTTTTTCCTGTCTCTCCACCAGTTTTAGATTGCCCTCACTGCCTTCCCCTCACACACCCATTGGGACAGGCAATACTGACTACACTACTTCAGAAACAAGTCGTGTAGAGACCACATGCCTGCAGGCTGGTGGAGGTAAGGTGCAAGGTGAAAAAATATCTAGTTCAGTAGGACAGGAAAAAAGATACCAAGAATTTCAGGACACAGGCTCATACCAAAATGTGTGCTCTTTCTATACAAACACCTTTGAATTTCTACAGAGCAGAAAAAATAATTTCAAGCAACAATGATCAGTTTAGCTTTCAGTATAGACAGTTCCTTCATATTCCAGAAGAATATGCTGATCTAAACAATCTTTTAAGTATTTTTAGATTTCGTTACAGATACAGTAGGTATAGACAAACTATGCCATTAAGATATTTTTATTATGCAATAAAATCTAAGTAATTAATTAGAATTAGTACATATTCTGTAGCTGACTGACTGAATAAAATCTTTCTCAATTTTACTCTAATGCAGCTCCAATGAAGAGATGTTTCTAAAATATTCAAAACAACATTAATAACAGAAGCTTTTATAACAGACTTAGTTCCCAAGAGTGCACAAAACAGATGTTTGTAGAAAAGTTCAGGTCTCGGGTCTGCATCCTAGCAGTCTCATATAATAAATAATAAATAAATAAATAATAATAATAATAATAATACTTATGTGTACTCAACTGCCCATAAAAATGAAGCAGAAAAGATGGAGAGCACTAGCTGGATATTGGAAATGCTGGTGTTCTGTCAGTATGGGAAAAGTAGTTCTCAATATAGATCAAGTACAAGAAGATACTCAGAACAGCTGCTCTACATTTACAATATATAATTAATCTCACTTGTATAAACCTAAATATTTATAGACATTTATTTTTCCTCCACAATACTAACCCAGTTTTATTGAATGAAGACAGATAATCTTCCAAGTACTTTAAAAAATGCAGCTAAAAAAATCTGATCTTATGCTGCAGCTATGTTAGATCTGACTTTACACCTTAATAAAGCCATAGAAAATACTAACATTTTACTTTCTTGAAAACCTATAATAAAATGTGTAACTTTCATTAGTACAGAGCTAGCATTTTCTACCATTTTATGAAAGATGAACTACTTGAAAAGACGTACTTAAATCTGAAATCGCAATTAATTGGCACCACAGAAAACTGGACATACAAATACACATTTCCATCCATCAGTCCCCAAAATATAACTAAAAACAGAAGATAAATCTACCTGCCTAAAAGCCCCTTTGAAATACTCAAAAAATATAATATGAACCATTTTGAGGCATTTTAAATGTAATCAAATGAAAATATTTTGACACTTTATTCTTTTAATGCCATTTAATTTTATAATACCTTGCTTTTGAATTGCAGCAGATGCTGTGATTTTTATAGGTGTACAGCTGTACACCTGATAACCAAACCAACATCATCAGGTACTTCCTCTTAGAACAGCTCTGACTGAAAGCATGACCAATATACAAGATTTGTTCCATATTAACGGGTTGTCTAGAAAGCCCCATTTGTTTCTCTTTCTTGAATGTTATCAGTCAAGCATTTTGTAATCGAGGCCTCTAAAGGGCACCTCAGAAATGATTCCCAAGCTATTTGGTACCCAAAAACCTCCAATCTCTCAGTAATCCTGGCGCACTAGAGCAGAGCCCACAGGTCCAGGGTGAAAGAAATAGTTTCTACCCTCCCAGGATTCAGCAGCATTGCTAGCCATCCAAGCAGATATATTGGAAATACTACCCTTTTCCATCCCTCTTGTTTCATTGATAGAATTTGTTTATGGGCAAACACCGGAAACAAGCTGGAATTCTTATTTATTCATTTTTAATATCATTAATTTCATTCTTTTGGATCTTTTATCTTTCTTGCACAGTTTACTTGACTGCTTTAATTCTAGTCTCAGCTGTCCTGATAAGTAATCAACATTAATGATCCATTAGGTGGGTTATTCTTAATAATCCTTTTTAATTCAAATGCTTCATTGCAGAATTTCTTCTAAGGCTTGTGTAGCACTCAAAATCCCTACTACAAGAGAAAAAGCTAGCAAATCTAGATAGGGAATGGTGTTCAAAAGGATCCTATCCACTTACAATTAGTACTGAGCCTCATCCATGATGTACAAGTTATCTCCTCTTAGAGCATACAAAAAAAACAGAAGTAGGAAATTAAAAGAGGACCACAGATGAAATCTGAGGCAGAGTACCAGAACATAGTGCAGCAGAATTGTAGAAGATATTAAAAAAAAATAAAATCTGAATTTGGAATGTGGAAACATTAGACAATAATAAAGAATATTTCCTCACATTGCTGGTTGGTTGCAAGTGGAATGATTTTTTGTTTGATGAACATTCTGTAAGCAGGACAGAGCTAGGGGCATTCCTTGCTTGTCCTTCAGAAATCATGCGTACTATACAATAGGAAAGATTCTATTAGATTCCATTACCTTTCTCACATCCTAGCAGGCCTTTGAATCCACTGACCCTTCTCTTTTTTCTCAGAGCTCCTAAAACTACACTGGATGGTCTACAACAAGAAAATGCTCTGGCAAATCACAGCATGACAGTTCAGGCAAACGCGTCTGATGCCAAGCGGTACTATCTCACTTCTCTGATGGTCACATATCTTTACCTACTGTGAAGTTCACACCACTTGCCAATCCTATGCACACACTGTGCCTACACGAAGAGTTTGCTGCCTTCATTCAACCCTACAAGCAGGGTAGCCTGAACAGCACACCAGCAACCGGACTTCAGACTTGCTTCCAGCAGAAGGGAAAACAATGATGTGTTCCAGTGTATACAGCAGGTCTGGTGGAGGCAACAACACGAATCTGCAACCCAACAACCCCTCCAGCTCACATCACTCCCCCTAACAACCTGCAGTTCCCCCCCCCCCCCAGCTCTCATCATCATAGACATCACCATCAAAGACAGAGGCCATGACATTTTGGCATGCTGAGCACAATTTCCAGTGTGATTTCTGTGAGGAGAGGTGGCACCTATCAATCCAAATGACAAAACATCCAAAATTTTAAGCATTGTTCTGACACCAATCTATTCTACAAGGTATAATGAATAAATGTTTCAGCTTTCTCCTGGTAAAACAGAAGTAATTACCCCATAAGAAGGGAAGTAGGAAGTACATGCAGATTAATTGTTACTTGATAGGTCTTGAGAAAACAATGACTCTCTTCTAAGTAGATACATAATTTTTCACACACTCAGAGGTCTTCTCAATATGCAGAAGGACCTAGAAGCATCACTGCTTGTAGTACTTTCTTGTGGTGGCAAAAAATACATGCACAGCAACCATGAAGGAGTTAAAGTGAGATAAATGTAGGTTACATTGGAACTTTAACAAATTGGGACCCAAAGATACACCAGCCAGTGAGGGTTAGAGGCATCTGAGGGTCATGAGCCTCAAAGCTAAATGAAGGTCTAAGCCCTGCTGTTACACGTTCTGAAGATTTCCTAGAAAAAGTGTTTGGTTTTCTGCCTCTGTTTTTCAGTGCATACTGCAAGATGATAAATGCATATGCTACTCAGATGAGCTACCTTCTTTGTTTTCCCTCTGGTACTATTAAGGATGTGCCAGTGGCTACGAAATAAGAAAGTTACTTGACAAATTTCAAGTAAATTCATGGTGAAATATTAAGCTTCATTCATCTTTTCTGTGGCCCTTAAGTAAAACAGGGTTCTGTAAAAAATTTTTGGGAGGCATAATAAAGACGATGCAAGCAGTAATGCAGCTGATAAATCATTTATGAAGAAAGTAAAGGGAGAACATTCCCAAATACCAGTGCACAAAGTATTTCCACTAACATCTTAGGCCTAATATACTCCATTTTAAAACAGACAATTAGATAACTGCTATAACATGCACCACTGGGGGAAGATGCGAACTACGACTGGCAGAAAGCAAACAATCCAGTGTTCATTCATCCTGTTACCTTGAGAGGCAAGCTTCTCCGTGAGAAAAGATTCAGTGGATGAATTCAAGCTCCTTGAGAATCAGCCTCAAGACTTCTTGAAAGAGACTATTGTGCTTTGTTAAGTAATAAAGTATGCACTTACTTTCTGGTCTTCTTTCACCAAAAGAGTAGACTGATGTTCATCTATTAATACTGTCAACCCACAGCAATCAAGAGACGTGGTTCCTTATTCTTGTTTTCAAAAATTTCCTTCATCAATAAAGCATTTTTTTCTATAGGGAGTAAACAGAGTAATGACAGTGTCATATGCGTCTTATTCTTATGAAGCACAGGTCCTATAGTGTCAGATGGCAAGCCTTAGCATCCTAGCACCAATTTCAGCAGTCTTGCCAGGTCACTCCTATAAAAGATCCAGCCCATGATGTTATGAGCTCATATTAATTCCAGACATAAACAAGTGACCTTTAAAAACTTTCTGGTTACTTTCAAATACAAAATTAAGCTTTCAGGGTTAAGAAGTCACCACTGAAATTGATGTGTGGTTGCCATATTTGAAACTGCTTATGCTAAATGGCTGTTCAGGAACTAATTATATGCAGCCTCAGCATAAATTCCTGTCATCCAATAAAAGACTTAATATTAATAATGTTGGCAATGAGTTATAACAGTCACTTGATTTCTATGAACAATGTTATATGAATGAAACTCTTCTTGTCTTTATGTATATGATTAATGGCAATTTGAGCAGAACCTTTGTTAGGTACTTTTAGGTCTTTGTGTTTAGAAATTATTAAAATTCACACAATTAGTCATGACGTAGCACAATTATTTGCCCTTTGTCTTATTCATGGTCACCCACTCTGTTTTTGCACATACTTGCACATACTTTTGCATATTTGAAGGGTTCTTCAAATAGGTCAAAAGCATATACATAAACCTAAAGAACTTGAAGGGATTTTGTTCAGCGTTCAATATTTCATGAGTAAAACAATTTAACTCACCTATCCACATCAGTCAGATAACAATCTGAAATTGGGATTAATACATCGCTCATGTGTTCAAATTCTCAGGTTTGATAGTAACAAGCCTGATCTCAGATCTGCTTAAACGAGTGAAGAATATGCCTTCTTCCTTTCAAACCATTTTGAATCTGTCTCTATTTTCTCTGTGAAGAAAAAACAAGTCCTTCTCTTACTGTAGGAAAAAACAAACAAACAAACAAAAATAACTCTAAGTAGAACAAAATAGGGCAGTCCTCTAAGTGTAGCACTGAGAATTAGTTTGACAGAAAGACATTAATGAAGCACTAAAATCATCAATGAAGCAATAAAACAAAACAATAACTGTGATAGCATGCTGCAACCAACCATAGGGCTAGAATTCTTCATACAATTTCTCCCTGTTATGTGAATATCTGTACAAGCACTGTTCAAACATATGGTCTGTAGACTTTGAATTATTTAAAATTGACGGAGCCTTTCTCCAGAAGGTTTCCCAAAAATACTAAAAGAGAATCAAGGACAAAATCATGCAAACAGACTTGACCTCTTTCCTGCTTACAGCTCATAACCTAACTACACCAACAAACAGCAAACTAGACTTAAATATTCTTCTGATGAGGACTAAATAAATGAATACATGTAATTACTAAAACTATAATTACCAGTGCAATGTTCCCGTTATTGCAACAAAAAGAGTGCGCCTGTGGAATAAACTAGCTGCCTTCCTTCCAGGATAACCAAACACTGGGGTTAAAAAAAAAAAAAAAAAAAGAGAGAGAGAGAGAGAGAGAGAGAGAGAAAACCATGAATAATTCAGGATTTGACTTGCTTTATTCAAAAAAGGGCCTTGCATGTAAATTTCAGATGAATCCCATATTCACTGAAAAACAACTAATTTACTTTCAGAATAGTAAATGGAGAAAATATTTTCCATTTAGGCTACTGCACTGCATACCTGTTTGGCATCCTGTTGAACACCCAATGAAGGATTAACTGACATAAGCATCTCAGCCCCTTATCCCAAACGTGTGAATCACACTGCTAAAAGCCTTCTTCATCACTGACTTTGCTTTTTTTGTTATTAAGTAAGCATACTTGCATAGGCAAGATTGTCAAAAATCAGACAGCAGAACATATTAAACAATAAACAAGGATAATTAGATCACATTTGAATACCACTTTTTATAACTCCGGTGAGGGAAAAGGAATGGTGACAAGTTCTCTGATGCTTTTGTTCCTAAATTTAATGTTATCAAGTCATTTACTCACTTTCAAAGAGCTACAAAGAAGTAAAATGGAAGAGCATTCCATGTAATGCAAGATTAGCATTGTTTTAAACCTGTCCCAAAACAGAGTTTTACAGCATACACCAGGGAAAGCCACAGAGAACTTAGCACCACATCAGACATCCTGGTGTGCTTTCACAGCAATCACCAAACTGGATGAAGTGTTAGAGTGAGCTACTCCACATCTCTTCCAGTGATCTGGCCAGAAACATCAGAGGCAAGAGCAGGAGCCCAGCCAGTCACGATACAATTAACTGCCAATTTCTTCAGTTTACATTTCTCAGTAGGATTTTACATTAAAAGCAGGCATCCTGTGATGTGCCATACCTACTAGATTAAAGCAAAAGGTGGATGAGGTTGTCATTTTAAGAGGCTGCGCAACATTTAGTGTCATCAGCGCAGTCCCCCAAGGAGTTAGCCTTTACCTAACCACAGAAAGCCTTTCAGGATTTCTTAGGATTGAGGAAAGCCTCTTACTTCTCTTGGTCACAGTGGAGATTTGGCTCCTCAGTCTCTACAACTCAAGGTAATTCTATCTATGCACAACAGCCTTTACTTCTGTCTATAAACATGCTTCCAAATGAATGAGTCTTCTCAGTTCTATTAATTCAAAGTGTATTGAGAACTATGAACTTATTCACAAGCAGCATGAATCACTCTCAGAAACTCTGACACCTAAGTGTTTCCCAATATTGTAATAACGTAATGTCTGCCACTATAGCATTGGGATACGCACAGGAGCCAAGATATCGTGCATTTTAGCAGCATGGGAAATGAGGAGTGTTAGCAGAGTCATATTTGATTTTACTTTGGTTATAAACATTGCAGTTTAATATTTTCTTTACAGCATGTTAAAATTTAAGGATTTTGCATAGAACTTCTGTATTCACAATTATGATTTTAACCTGCTTTGCAAGTAGTTGTGCTCTTGTGAACATAAGAAGAGTCATTAAATATCTGAAAGTTTCCCTATCAAAGGACTGCTTCATATAATGGCTATTGTCTGCATCTTGAGACAAAATCACATATAAACTTAATTCATGGGAGAGCATTGGAGAAAGCAATCCCATCAACATGTTTTAACCCAGGTCTGTAGTTGAGAATGAATAAAACTTGACATATATTTACATGTTCCTTTATTCTGCACAAGGACATACCACTCTGGAATGTAAATCTGCAGGTAGCATCTCAAAGTGAGTACTTTGCTGATTGCAAATTAACCACAATGACTGTTATGACAAAGAGCTAAGTCAGGTGAATGGCAAGTTGTAACAGTAATCAAGTGCTTTTAAAGTTTCTATTTATTGTTTAAAAGCAAACAGAACAAAACCTGTCTTCTGGCTGAGGATAAGGTCACCTGAGAGGAGGTTAAAGTATACTTTCAGGAATGAAAATTAAGGGGCTGTCATCCGTAACAGTGTGCTTATTGACCTTTTAGGTGTGACAATTGAATTATAGGAATCTACATGTGTGGTAGTTTCTTATTTATCATAATGCATTCCATAAGGAGAAGTTTCACACATAGGAAGGAATGACACAGGATTCCAGTACCTATCAAGTGGCAGTTCTTTACGGCAGGCAGTACACAACCCATTTCACAGTCATTATTTTATCTGCATCACACAATGCTTAGAAATTCTACCGTACAAATAACAAAGAAATGGAGGCTGCCTCAGAGCTTCCTGTTGTAAGCTGTCTGCAGCTGCCCCCTTGTGTACCATCTGCTACTCACTGCCAAATGCTAATAGCCTCCATCACTTGAGCTGTCAATAAAACATAACAACAGAGAGAAAAGGTTCTAGATGCCCCAAAATACAGAAAAAGAACACTTCAGGAAAAAAGAAAAGGTAAAAAAATAAATACAAATTCCATGACCTGGTTTCAGTCATTTTTCCTTGTATGTGCTTAGAAGAAGAAAAAGTAATTGAGAGACACACTGGATATTTTTTTCCTATAAACACATAAGGCAGTCTCCAGAGCTTAAATGGACTGTTACTCCATTTCACCCGTAGAGCAAACCAAAAAGGCCAGCTGCTTATGAATTTGACTCACTGAACTCAAAAAGCTGCAGTGAGTCGTATGTTTCCTATGCTCACTGTGGGGTTGTCATAGTAATGATTTCTCCCTGTCATTTTTCACTTTACCACACGACTCCATGGGATCAATTGCACTTAGCTCAGCATGGACAAGTATATATATAGTAGGCAAGGGAATGGAACTGCAACTTTGTTTTTCCCCTAACTCCATTGGAAGGCATCCCTCCATTCAAACAACAGCCAGTTACGATAGCATTAGAGTTCCTAAAAGGAAGGAGCTAGAATGTTTCTATCAGCCGACAGAGCTGGCCCAAAGCAAAACAAAAAATATGTTTACAGGGCCATAATCATTTCATAAAACCCCACAAAGAAAACAGAATACCTAATTTATACTCAGGTATATGTTGGAGTTCATAAGAACATAAGTGACTTGCTTCTTGCCTTTAGGCAGAAGCTCAGTAGTTATCTTCAGTCTTTAGTAGGAGGCACAGGAACTTCACAAACTGCTGAGGATGGTGGTGGCTGGTGCAGCTGCACCTTCACAGCGGTTCAACTAGTTCTCCTGTTAACTGAAAGAAGAACAGCGATGCAGAGTCAAGATATTTTCTAGCACCGTGCTTTTGTTTACTCTGAACAGAAAGAATCAAAGCACGTGCATGAACAACTCCTTGAAGAAGCAGCAGTTAAGATGTTAGCCCTTTCAGCAGATTAATATTCTGGCACTGAGAGACTTTCCCTGCCTTAGCCCCAGGCATTCTCATCTTGGAATTGCCTAAACCAAAGTTACTCATCTCAAAGTATACACCCTCGGTATAATTCTTCAGAAAAAAAAAAAAAAAAAAAAAAAAAAGGAACTTCAGGTAGCCTTGCCTGGAGCCAGTTTTTGACCACTTAACCAATGCAAATTCTCTCCAGGATCATCAGCATGTAATTATTTTGTGCGTTCCCTCACGTGAAGCTCTGTTTAAAACTAATTCCACAGGGCTTGCTGTTTTGCTCTTTGCTTGTTTGTTTGTTTCATTTTTAATACTCCAAAGAGACAGCATCTCATCAAATCACCCATGATAAATTCCTCTTTGCCCAGTTAATTTACTGCAAGGCTCGAAATAATTTCTCAATATCTACAAACCTCCCCTTCACTTACAATGTTACCTGTAATCTAAATGAAGCTCTTTTCTTTTCTTCCCATAGATATTAATTGTGAAGTATATTCTGACTTCAACACTACATTTGAAGCCACAGCAAGTAGCTTATGCATTTCTCACATGAGAGTATTTGTGATCTGGAATTCATGAACCATGGTGTATTTTGATACAATAAACAGTACTTTGGCACATTCTGTCCAGAAAGACAAGCAATCACGGACACACATTCAAGCATATTACTGGCCAAATTCATCCCAAAGTTACTAATTTAATTACGCATAACCATTTACATAATAGCAGTTTGGATTTTTCCTGTCATCCTCATAATAAAAATAAAATAAAAAAATCCCTAACTACTGAATATTGCAGATGAGCAAAATTGAAGACTCTAAAGGCAGAACCCAAAGCAAGATGTTTTCAGACAGCTATTCCAGATTTAGAAGCTGCACATAGGAAATACGCTTCACTGGTAATCTCTGGCTCAAACTATAATCTGCAGTTTCATACTCACCTGCAGTCAGCAATTAATCCAGACATCTGTATATTATATTACTGTTACCTAAAGAAAATAAATCAGGTTTTATATTCCATCAGTATTTAAAACCAGCTATTAAAAACAAATAAAAGCAGAAAAATTGCACTGCAGTCATATTGCAGCATTCCCAAACACACTTGGTGATCCCAATGCAGAGAAAAGAACAAGGTGTCCTAAACCCCTCCTAGTGAGATAGCACCCTCACAGTGAATTCACAATTACACAGCAAGGTAATGTGAACTCCAGATCAAAGCACAAACAGGTAGGAAACACCAGTTCCACTTCTGAGAAGTGCGAGAAGGAAAATTACCAGCAGACTGCTTTTTTCCTGAGATGCACTTAGAGCAGATAGCAGTGTCTGAAGCAAGTGGTTTACATTAGATGCTCACATTTTTGCTTACAAGGACTTCGTCATTTTAGCCGCATATTTCAAGCATTACGGTAATATCAGTACCTGAAAAACGCACAAGCCTTATACACAAATGGTCTCAGAAAAATTCATACAGAATTAGAGGAAAAAAAAACAACTTGCAAGTATGGATTTATTCTATTTGAGCATGCCAGTCTCATTGGTTTCTTTAATTGCTTGTTTGCATAAGCAACTTTCACCCAGTTTTGGAAATGTAACCTATTTCTGTTTAGCAGGCTTCATGGTACATATTGTAATTAGCATGTTTGTAGCCCCCGGTGCAAAGTGTTCCTTCACCGTTGACTGAAAATATAATACAAATGGAATCATTACTTTTCTTTTGCTTCCTACATCATTCAAATATCATAACTGAAAGATCACAAAACTTGGCACGCTATTAGACTCAGACACAATAAACGATGACCCAACATGTTTTTGAGACAATCCCCTGAAGGTAAGTATTCCACATAAAGCCCCACAGTCCAAATTTCAGAATTAATTATTTTTGTCACTTGTGACAGGCATTATGAATCTGAGTTAATTAAATTAGGAAGGACTGTAAACAGAGTAACAGCTCAAAAGAAATGCATCTTTTTGATAAAATGTGCCATGGATTTTTGATGCTGAAATACAGGGTCTGGTTGGGGAACAAAGCTAAACCTACTGAGAAGATGAATTATATAATATGGATATATTGCTTCTGCTAGTTAACATGATTAAAAGACTATGTTAGAAGAGACTGTCAGGCAAAAACTGATCGTTCTGATTGACAATGGCAATACAACCAATACCGGTATTTTAATGAGCATATGGCCACCAGTCCCAGAGGAATGCAGAAAAAAGCATTGCAAATGTTTATCAGTTTTGAAGCTAGTAAAACACCACAGTTTCTCTTTGAGAAAGGATGCAAATCCCCAAAGTCTACCAGATCAAAAGCAGAACAATCACACCAAAGTACAGAATATAATGATATAGTCATGCCAAGAGATTCAGAAGCCTTTCCATAGTAAAAGCATATGACGGGCTAAGACCATTCAAATAAACACACGCAATGATTTCAGAAATTTGTCATCGTCTCAAGCCATAGCCATCAGCACATAGTATTTTGTCCTGGACAAACATCTCAAGATTTGACTCTTAAAAGCAAATAGACAATTAGTTTTAAAACTGAGTAACTGAAACACAGTTTGTGGAAGCTATCAGGAAGCATTTCATAGACATATCAATCCCCACAGCAAATGTTTATTTTAATTAGCAATCTTAATAGGTCCCATTAGGTCCTATTTTAATTTAATTAGCAACCAACTCTGCTGAGTTTGTAAATTAGCAAAACCCTTCCCAATCATTGTGCTGGAACTTCCCAGTAAATTACAAACAGGTCCTCAAACAAAAGTTCATGGAAACTACATTAACATTTACAGGCACGTTAGTCAAATCAAGACCACAAACAAATCATTAGATGCCCTAGATGGATCAAAAGTGGTGAAGCAGCAAGTCTCATAGACGTTCAGTACTGCCTATGTAAGGTAAGCATCAGGAGCCTGAGATCCAGCCTGCAATACACCAGAAATAGCGTAACACGGATTAACTTCTTACTGTGAGATACCCAAAATATGCATCCCAACTGCACAAGCCATGGCTGAGCTCCACTCTCCACAGACATGTCACTGCCAGGTTTGAGACTTCCAGAACATACAGAAAATATTATAAACTTTAAGGTGAACATTGCCTGAAACAGTTCAGACATAAGTGACAACAGAGGGTGTACCAGAAAACTTTCACTCCTCTTGCACAATACAAATGAGATTCAAGGCAAATTATTTCACTACTGTTCTAGCTCAAATCATTTTACATTTTGCACCCTGTGCAATATTTTTTCCTCATTTTCTCTGCCTTTAAGTGGAATTTTTTTTTCCTTACACAGTTCATTCCTTAGAAGATCATGAATATAACATTTTTAAGCCTGGTTTATACCACTTTGGACAGTTTCAATGGGTTTCTAAAGCATTTTAAAATCCTTTCTATAAAAAGTGAGAATCTTTCAAAGAAAATAAACACAGCCCCTCTCTGCGTACAAGTTTTTTTAAAAGAGAATATATGTGACAGTATAATTTCAATGTATATATACAGAAACATTTCAGTCTAGAATCTGCCCTGAAATTACCACAGGATGCTTGCATGTTGACAATATTTACAATAATTGATGCATAAAACACCATAAATATTTGGACAGGATTTGGCCTTTTTGCTCACAACAGATTAAATGGTACATCAGTGAAAACAGATATATACAAGTAAACCTCTTCCAAGTCCTTCGCATGCCTATGAAAATATTAAAAAAAATATTAAAAAAAAAAAAAAAAAAAAAGAATGAAGATGGAAGTCAAAGCTACTAACAGAGTCAATAACTGGGGATGAAAAAAAAATAAAAAAATCAGTGCTTATTCATCTGCTTTCTTTCCAGCTGCAGAAAGTGTAAAACTGTTCATATCAAGAATGCACTGATTACGAAGTAGCAAACAAATGACTGTCTAAACAATTGCAGAGAACTCCACTGGATCTGTAGGTTATAACGATTCCTACTCCACTAATGTGAAAACATCGCAGTGAAGTTCCATGTCTCTCAAAACAGAAACCTTCCTCCAAAGTTTTTTTTCACAGTGAGATCTCAGGATGACCTATTAACTTCTGACTGCTGTCAGAATCTCTGCTTTGTTACTGTTTGCTCTTTCAACATCTATTTTACTATTCAACATCTATTCAACTATTCAACATCTATTTTACTAGCTGAGACAGCCCATTGAGCAGGCTTACTCATCAAGATTTTCAAGCACTGAAGATCAAATTTCTAGACCTTGAGCTTAAGCCCTCTCAACAGCAGAAATTAATTGTATCAGTTGTGCCTCACTGACAAGAAATACTTATGTAAAACAGAACTCAAAAGGCTTGTAAGATACATATATTTACGTGTTGGCTGTTTGGCCTACCAGCTTCTTTCATACTCACTAAATTTGTTTTCAGAACATGAAATAACACAGTCACATAAATTAAAATTCACATCATATGCTGTTTCGTTCGCTCCACTTATATCTGTTCTTATTGGACAAAAAACAATCAACCCACAGAATAAAAGGCCCAGCTAACAACCGAACTAGTCTTCCAAGACTAGTGCTGCTGTTTCATTAGTACAACGTAGATTACGTTTTACATATTTTTCTCTAGAAAATCAATCAGGACCGTTTTATTTACTTGTCTGCAAAATGAATTAAACACTGTAATTCTGATCACCTAGTCTTCTGAATATTCAATAACTATTTGTGAAATATGATGAGTAGAGCATTAAAACTTCATTAGTAAATGTAGCAATCAGATTTTAGAAGATTTGGAATAGGCTGAACTAGGTTTCAATTTACACTTATTAAATATAGATTACAATTTTTTTGTTACAGGTCAAGCAGCCTCCGCCACTGAGTAACTGAGTACTGTTGCAAATCAAAGCATGTCCTTACATGCAGTCTTTTACTGGACCATTGGCTGCCTAGACTCAAAATTCCATATTTTTATAATCTTATCAGGGATACTAATAAATTTCAATGTTAATGATCATTACAGACATGGTTGCTCAAGACTTTGTAGCCTCACCATGTCTTAAAGTTACACATGTCTGCAAAACTGTTATGAGAAAGCAAACCATGAAATATTTTAGGAATCTGGAGAAAATGGTTGTTTTGTTTTGGGGTTGTTGGTTTTTGCTTTTTTGTGATTTGTTTGATTTTCATGGTGGCCATTCCTATGTCTGTAGTATCTCACAGAATATTGCATATATTTCCTTCTATTGTATTGCCAGTTTTTCTCACCTTTCTCTATCACAGATCTTCGGTTTTCATTTTGCAGAAAAGCTGGGAAAAAGGAGCTTAAAAGATTTTGATTTTTTTTCTGTCTGATATTAGGCTTTAGGTGACATCTATTGCTCAGCATGTCACTTGAAAATCCGTTTAAAACTTCCGTTAGTTTTCAAACCACTTTTAAAAAATCTCACTTCAGATTTCTAATAACAGATATTTCTAATTTCTAATAACATAAATTTCTAATTTCAGATAACTAATGGTTATCTTGGCATGGTGATATCAATTGCACTCTCCTGTGCTACCCATATATTCCTTTTCCAATTTGGCAAATGTCATTAAACAAAGAGGGAACACCTATACCACCTTTATTTAATGAACAAAGGAAGGCTTAAAAAAATAATTTCCTTTCTAAGATATTTCTTTGAATGAGTTGCTTTGCTTCTCCTACTCCACTGATTCTTGCACCTTCACATAGCTAGCTCTGTACTAATGAACTTGCTCTGTAAGATCAGCTGCTGTCCTTATGTTATTATTATTATTTCCCCAAGCCCCTACTGTGATCTTACAAAAGGCTTAGTACAGAGGATTTCTTTCCTCCACCTTTGCTTAAGGACTTGAAAATATTTTATCATGAGAGTTGTTTCAGTGTATAAGCTATTTATGGAATACATAAAGCATTAAAGCAAGCCAAAGCCTGAATCTCATTAGGACAATAAATCAAAGAAGAACAGAATGATTTTTCAGGAATGATGAACAGCTTTTCTCATTTAAGAACACAGATCATGCATCATTAAGGCATCTGGTCAGGTACAGAGTACGGCATATGCAAGAGGATTTAATATAGAGAGTGCTTTAATGACACTGTCAATATGGAGGTGGGAGGAAATTTTGTAAAGTATGGGGGTTGAGAAAGAAACATGACTCAGATTAACAATTAAGAAAGATTAACGATTAAGAAATGATCTGGATAGGCTGCACCGATGGGCTGAGGTTAACTACATGAAGTTCAACAAGGCCAAGTGCCAGGTCCTGCACCTGGGGCGCAATAACCCCAAGCAGAGCTACAGGCTGGGAGATGAGTGGTTGGAGAGCTGCCAGGCAGAGAAGGACCTGGGAGTGATGGTGGACAGTCGGCTGAATATGAGCCAGCAGTGTGCTCAGGTGGCCAAGAAGGCCAACGGCATCCTGGCTTGTATCAGAAACAGTGTGACCAGCAGGGCTAGGGAGGTGATTGTCCCCCTGTACTCGGCTCTGGTGAGGCCGCACCTCGAGTACTGTGTTCAGTTTTGGGCCCCTCGCTACAAGAAGGACATCGAGGTGCTTGAGCGGGTCCAGAGAAGGGCAATGAAGCTGGTGAGGGGCCTGGAGAACAAGTCCTATGAGGAGCGGCTGAAGGAGCTGGGCTTGTTCAGCCTGGAGAAGAGGAGGCTCAGGGGCGACCTTATCGCTCTTTACAGATACCTTAAAGGAGGCTGTAGTGAGGTGGGGGTTGGTCTGTTCTCCCATGTGCCTGGTGACAGGACGAGGGGGAATGGGCTAAAGTTGCGCCAGGGGAGTTTTAGGTTAGATGTTAGGAAGAACTTCTTTACCGAAAGGGTTGTTAGACACTGGAACAGGCTGCCCAGGGAAGTGGTGGAGTCACCATCCCTGGAAGTCTTTAAAAGACGTTTAGATGTAGAGCTTAGGGATATGGTTTAGTGGGGACTGTTAGCGTTAGGTCAGAGGTTGGACTCGATGATCTTGAGGTCTCTTCCAACCTAGAAATTCTGTGATTCTGTGATTCTGTAAAGGCCATTCATAGAGCCTAGCTTTTAAAACGTAACAGCCTGGTATTTTCTCTGAATACTTTACTTGTCATGCTATAGCACAGTGCAATAAATTCACCACTCTAGCTCTCCTTAAGAAGACATGTTTCAAATGCTAGTTTAGTTTTCTGGAGTGAAAGACAGGCTTTTCAGGAAAGAGTTAGCACTTCAAGAAATCTAAGATTTTATAGTTTGAAAGCTCTGAAAGTTTCTAATAAAACAATAGGATATTGTTACAGAACATTAGATTTCATTTCACAGAATCACAGAATTTCTAGGTTGGAAGAGACCTCAAGATCATCGAGTCCAACCTCTGACCTAACACTAACAGTCCCCACTAAACCATATCCCTAAGCTCTACATCTAAACGTCTTTTAAAGACTTCCAGGGATGGTGACTCCACCACTTCCCTG